ACAGAACCCTATGAAATAGGGCAGATACTACAATTTTATAGAATAGGGCACTTCACAGATTAAATGGTGTACTTTATGGTACAGAGGTGGAACTTAATACACAGATCTTCTCACTTTGATTCTGGGGGATCTCTCTAAGAGATAGAGTAGCCAGTCACATCTCATGTTGGCTTTTGTCTTTGAAGAACCAGATGGTCTTCTTACCCAGAAACCAGTTGTCATAAAATACTGATGTATTAATTTATTAATGTTCATGCTTAAGTTTCTCCATTTACCTGTTTATCCTTCTCCTTTCCTTTTGCTGGTTATCTTATCTCCCTCTTCTGACCACATGGTTTGGGGAGCCTATAGGTAGGTGAATATTGTTTATTTAGTAAAGCAGTTGACAGATATTAAACTAGTTATAGGTACTCCATTTTTATATGCTAGTTATTGTTCCTTTTAGAAATGGTATAAATGCATATATACACACATTTTATTTCTAAGTAGCAGGTGAACTAATTCTGAATGTTTTCTTTGAAAGTAGCACAATTGAAGATATTAAGTAGATTCTCTAACTCTCCCTCTTTTCAGTAAGCCTCTTCTGAAGTAAGACTAACTACCGTGTTATACTAATCTTCTAAAGTGTCATAGTGATCATCTGGTGGTGCCTTGCAGAGAAGGCACAGAGCATCTGGAATAAAAGAGTTTCTTTAGGATTTGAGGTGAAAATGCAGTTCCTTTAAAGTGCCAAAGATTTTTTTCATACTTAATCACCCTTCTTATTTTTCCCCCTTACAGGGTAGATGATGTGCCTCCAGGAATATCTTTGCTTCCTGATAATATTCTGCAGGTTCTAAGGATCCAGCTACTACAGTGTGTTCAGAAAATGGCAGATGGGTTAGAGGAACAACAACAAGCTTTGTCAATTTTGCTTGTCAAGTTCTTCATTATTCTTTGCAGGTATCTGGTACAAACAAATAAACTAGTTATCTGTTTTAAAAAATTATCAAATAACAATGCATTTATTTATTATTAATGGTGTTTGTTGTTCATATGGAGCTTTAAAGATTGAGTGCTTTTTTTTTAAAGAGTTTATTATTTTTATTTGAGAGAGGGAGAGAAAGAGAGGGAGCACGAGCAGGGGGAAGGGCAGAGGGGGAGGGAGAAGCAAACTCCCTGCTGACGGCAGAGCCCGACTCAGGACTCGATCCCAGGACCCTGAGATCATGACCTAAGCCAAAGGCAGACGTTTAACTGACTTAGCCACTCAGGCGCCCCTTGAGTGCACCTTTTATGAAAGCCTTGTGATTTATTATATTGGAAAGCTTCTTATTTATTTAATGTTTTACTTCTTTATTTAAAGTAGGCTTGATGCTCAGTGTCGGGCTCGAACTCATGTCTCTGAGGTAAGAGTCTCATGCTCCACCGACTGAGCCAGCCAGGCACCCCTACTGGAAAGCCTTTTAGTTACCAGACTTAGTTACAGAGAGGTTCAGCCAAGATTTAAAAAAAAAAAAAAAATTACTATAAAGACGGTGACTGAAGTTTTTACCTAACCAAGAATTTGTTGTACCAGGATTTTCTGTGTGGTCCTCAGTGAGGACCACATACACATTTTTACTACTGTGCATTATCATTTGTGAAATATATTTTTCTAATCTTTCATTTTATAATTTTGCCAAAGAAAGTATAATTATTCTACAGCTTATATTTCCAGATTTATAGATGATTAGGTCTGTGGTACTTAAATTTTGGTGTGCATAAGTATTAACTGGGAAGCTTAATAGGAATACAGATCTTGAGCCTTATGAAAATTCTGACTCCAAAGAGCTCAGGCATTCTAATTCTTCGCGAATTCCATGGTAACCTGCATATACAAATTTAAGAACCATTGGGTTAGGGGCATTTTATGCCTCTTTAAAGTCTGTCTTCTTTTTGGAAGCCATTTCCTATAATATATACTATTTGTTCTATAAATATTTTAGAATTAATTAATAGACAAACAGGGACTTAATTTACTGTGCATTTATTTACCTTTCACTTAATTGCTCATTGTATTTGATTGCAGGAATCATGGAAAGATTAAGCAATAATTGCTAAAATGTTTCTCCCCTAATTTAGGCTCTCCCAAAGTGTAGATATTGTTTTGATTTTGTGCTCTTAATCATCCTTAAAATTCAGAAAAATAATACAAGAATTAAAGGGTTGAGGGAAAAAGGGTTTATTTACGCAATAAAACATGAGTTGGTCTGTTGATCTGTTATATTTTGTCCTGTTAACTACTTAGTACAGTTTTACAGAAATCAGAAATCCTATAGATAAATAACTGTTTTAAATCTAGTTATGTTTAGGGGCTCCTGGGTAGCTCAGTCGGTTAAGCATCTGCCTTCGGCTCAGGTCATGATCCCAGGGTCCTGGGATTGAGTCCCACATCGGGCTCCCTGCTCAGTGGAGAGTCTGCTTTCCCCGCTCCCTCTGCGGCTCCCACCACTCATGCTCTCGCTCTCTCACTCAAATAAATAAAATCTTAAAAAAAATAAATCCAGTATGTTTAACTGTTTTTAAAATTTATTTATCTTAGAAACAGAGAAAGAGAGTGCATGGGTGTGTACACGCAATTGCGGGGAGGGGTAGAGGGAGAAAGAGAAAGAGAATCCCAGGCAGACTCCAAGCTGAGCACAGAGCCTGACACAGGGCTTGATCTCATGATCTCGAGACCACGACCTGAGCTGAAATCAAGAGTTGGAAACCCAACTAACTGAGCCACCTAGGAGCCCCTAGCTCTTGATCATTATAGGCAAGCACTGGAATGTTTTGGTTGAATTTTTTTTTTTACTAGGAGATAATCTCTGATGATTAATTTAATGTTTATTTTATTTTAAATTTAATGTTTAATAGCTGCCAATCACAGAATGTGTTTCTGTTTCCAGAGACCTCACTTTTTAAAAAAATTCCTTAAAAAATTTCGAATAGGTTTTATGTTGTATAGCAGTTTCGTTTTATATAAAAATTTTGTCCATCACCCAGTTACCCCATCTCCCACCCCATCCCCTCCAGCAACCCTCAGCTTGTTTCCTCTAATTAAGAGTCTCTTATGGTTTGTCTCCCTCTCTGATTTTGTCTTGTTTTTCCCTCCCTTCCCCTATGATCCTCTGTTTTGTTTCTTAAATTCCACATATGAGTGAGATCATTTGTTAATTGTCTTTCCCTGATTGGCTTATTTCGCTTAGCTTAACACCTTCTAGTTCCATTCATGTCGTTGCAAATGGGCATCTGCTGTATTTTAGATAAATAGTTTTTTTCAGTGTCACAGCGTCTCAGAAGAAAAATTAATAGACTGTTTTATTATGCCAAGAAAAAGATAGGTGATACTAGATACAGAAAATGTTGGCATTATGTGTCCTGTGTTGTCTTATAAAAATGGGATAAAAATGAGGACCATATTTTAATTAAACACCACTTACTGACCCACTCACTGCTTTAAACAACACATATACTATGCCCTCACGGAGAATGTACAGATGCTGGCTTTTCTATCAAGGCCTTTCAATATAGTTGAGAAACACGTCTAGATAAGGGAACTGTAATTTCAAAGAGCAAAGTGAAAACTCTAAAACTATGTGTTTTAATGTCAACAGTATGTACAAAAACCAAACTAAGAATCTGCATATGAAAATAAAAACAAACCTGAAAAGAAATAATCCAAAATGTAAATAGTTGCGAATGGTTGGTTGTAAGAATATTTCTGATTTTTGTTTCTCTTTTGTTTCTACTTTGTGATATTTTTCACTTTTTCTATAATAAATAATTGCTAACCAGCATGTACTTCTTAAACATTCTGTTTAGAGTAGCTAAATTGTGGTTGAGGTGTGTTTCACATTCTTAGTGGAGAAACAGTTATGTAACCATATTGATTTTAAGTTTTAATAAATGTCATTTATATTTCCTTTGCTAACATGTATTTTCAAAATTCGACCTGAATAAATGAGCATACATTTTTGTCACTATTCATATGTAATAAATATTCTTTTTTTCCTCACAGAAATCTATCTAATGTGGAAGAAATTGGGACTTGCTCATATATTAATCATGTCATCACTATGACAACACTCTATATTCAGCAAGTAGGTGAATTAATATATTCCTTTTGTTGCTTTACTGAGAGTAACTAAGTTTTTTAAATATTATAGTAAAGTTAAATGTTTTTAGAGGATGTAATAATCGAGAAATGAATTAAAATTTCCATTAGGTACTATATAGTTCAGACATCTTAAACATATTATCTAAAAATAGAAAAGCAATTATTAATATATTTTATTTTAGTTAAAAATTAAAGTGTTTTATAAATGGCTTTTTACAGTGACGTACTTTGTCAATTTATATATTATATATATTACATATTATTTATCATCAAATATCCATCTTATTGAAAACTTTTTTTTTTGCTATCCATTCGAAACTCTTCCTAGGCCATACTAAAAATTGAAGGATTATATTCAGTCCATATGAATAACTGACCCTTTAGATGCAATTGGAACATAGGCTTATTTGAATAAAAATGATTTATTAGATAATTAATGAAACATGTCTTTTAATGATGTAGATATATTATGCAGTTTAATATTTTTAACTAAATATAATTTTCTGTTTAACTTTACTTTCAGTTAAAAAGCAAAAAAAAAGAGAAGGAATTGGCAGATCAGACAGCTATTGAAGAATTTGTGATCCATGCATTGGCGTTTTGTGAAAGTTTATATGATCCATATCGGAATTGGAGGCATAGAATTTCAGGGTATGTCTTATATACCTTATAATGTTCATTTAAAACCTGAATGTCATAAATATATGTAATTCTTCAATGCAGGTCTTATTCTCTGTGAAAGAAATATGTAGGATGTGTGTAAGACCCCTATCTTTATCTCTGACCCCTATCTATCTCTGTTGGAAGTAATGAATTAGTGAAAATTGCCACTTCCAGATAATAAATTTACTCTAAACTTTTATTTTGTAATGCTAATAATCTGATAGGAAAATTTCAAAGCACGGTAACATCAAGTGGAGTATACATATTTTTCAAGGAAAGTTCTCTTTTTTTAAGCTCATTTCATAGGATGAAAATGATTTTAACAATATTTTGTCTGCTTTTAATTGTGGAGCTTGTGTCAGCTAGGGTCTGGTCAAGAAAACGGTAATCATACCAGGTATTTGAAAAAGATATAATTGAAGGAAATTGTTAAATAGGTATTAGAGAACTCAAAAAGCAAGTAGGGATACTGATGTAATACAGAGATAGTGACTTCAGGAAGCAGCTACTTCCTTCGGGGTATGGGACAAAAGGAAGAGACTGGAGTTATCAGAGAAGAGGTCCTGCAGCTGGGTCTCAGACCTCTGATGAAAGAGCATTGCTTAGCTGTGCAGGTATCACTGAGCAGCCAGGAGCATAGGCTGGTGCTGGAATTGCCAAAAATAACCTGAAGACAAAGAACCAACTGTTGGCTGGTAAAAAAATAAGGAATCACTTTCTTTTTTACCCTTAGCCTTCCAGGCTCCATTTAGTACGCATTCTTGGTGAACCCAACAGTGGAATACCTGGAAAAAGAGAAGTGTGGTTTGCAGAGTGCTTGTCACAGCATGACAAAGCAGATAGAATATAGGATGATGGGTTTGCAGTTTAGTGACAGTAGTATAATTACCAGTTCAGGGCTCACAGAGAAGAGTTTTGAACTCATATCTTTATTACCTGTGGGCACAGAATAGGAAGAGTTGTATCATGAACTACAGTCACGTAGCTTGTTTAGGTCTCCCAAATCTGCTATATTTTCAATTTCAAGATTTTTCCATTTTCATTTTTAATTTAACCCAACCTATTTATACCATCGCCACTTCCTGCAGCTTTTCACTGCTAAAATGTTTGATCTTTATAGGCTTTTCAGGTTTTTTAGGGTCTTATACCCTCACTTTGAGTAGCCACCATTAGATGATGGTGAAGAATTGATTAACTGAGAGAACATTTATGTAGACTATATGGTAATACTTTGTATGTTCTATGTAGTGATATTTTATTGAAATAACAAATCCAATAGTAATAGTAAGTAAAAAGTAGATATAAATAGGAACAGGTACTCTAGTTATTAAATATAACAATCCTGTCTACTTATTTATACACTGGCTTTCCTTTATACATTGAGAGAAGTTGTCTTTATTAAGTTTCTCCATAGAAACAGAACCAGTAAGGGTGTGTGTGTGTGTGTGTGTGTGTGTGCGCGCGCGCGCGTGCGTGTACGCGCATGCATAGAACAAGGTTTATTATAAGCAGTTGCCTCATGTGATTTTAGAGGTGGACAAGTCCAAATGTGGGCTGTCAGGCTTATGACCCAGGAAAGCCAAAGTACAGTTACAGTCTGAAAGCTGGCAGATAGAAAGCCAATGTTCTAGTTCTAGTCCAAATGTAGTCAGGCTGGAGACCCAGAACTGATGATGCAGATGAAGTCCAAAGACAGTCTGCTGGAGAACTCCCCCTTGCTTAGAGAGACCAATTTTTTTGTTCTACTCAGTCTTTCCACTGATTCATTGAGGCATTTTGTATAGGGTAATCTCCTTTTCCATATTTCACCAATTTAAATGTTAATCTCATCCAAAAACACCCTCCCAAGTTGACACATTAAATTAACCATCACATTGCCCTAGTAATTTTCTTGGCTGTTCATTAATGGAAAGGAACTAATGACCTTCTGAATGCTTCCTTTTCTCCCCTTTCCCACCACAGGAACAATATTGTTTTTCAAAGAAATATTGCAACTTGAACTAGGGTTAAAAGGTACTGTCTGGCAGGAGTCCTGCTTTAAAGAATAGATAAAAATAGTTTGTATTTATTATATCAAAATACCAACCTTAGCAGTACCTAGCTTTTGCTTATAGTGCACTTACATTGTTGGGAATTCATGACTCTGAAATTTGTGTCAAGTAAACAGTTCTTTTACAGTTTACTTAGTATTGAATACTTCCTTTTCAATTGAGCTTTAATATGTCTCTTTTCCCAGAGAGAAAGTACTTTGAATTTTCCTTGGCAAAGATGGTTTGTCAGTCAGGATAAGACAGATGGTGTTGCAATAACATACAAGGGGTTAGAATAACAAAGGTTTATTTCTTGTTCATGCTGTCTGCCATTGTTGGCAGGAAGCCCTCAGTCATGACAGTCACTCAAGATCCTAAGCTGACAGAGGAGCAGGCATCTAAGGCTTTGCTAGTTACCACCCGAGAGAAAAGAAAGCTCTGAAATGTCTCACATTAGCAATTTAATGCTCTCACCTGGTCATGACACATCTTACTTTCATTCAGAATTCGTTGGTCAGAATTAGTCCCACATCCCCCTCTACCACAGTGAAACCAAGAAGTTCTACTTTGACTAGAAGGGGTAGACGTGGAAATAATTGGCAGACTGCACTGTCACTACCTTTTGCCTCTGCCTGAGCACTACTTATGACTCTGAAGATTGAAAGAGGCACATAACTGTTCCATTTGTAGCCTTTCTACTCATTTATCACTTTGGTTCTCAAATAATCAATGTTCTATTTTGTATCCCCAAAAAGGCTTATAATATACAGAGGGGAGGGGTTCCTTCTTGGCTGCTGCTTTCCTCATTGCTGCCAGGACATTGCTTAACTCCTCTTTCCTCTTGGCATGGAGGTGTGTTTCCGCATCTTTCTTGATGAACTTGAGGGCACTCTTGTCCTTGGAGACCTTGAGCAGCTCCAAGGCATACTGCTCATATGGGGTGAAGCCCCTGCACCTCTTGGATCCTGCCACGCACGAACTTTGCTCACATTCTTTGTCACCTTGTGGCCCTTGTTGAGGCCCATGGCCATAGGGTAGTGGAGAGCCATCGCTGCTGCTCCTCCATGGCTCGCTTGGTGGAAGCCAGTGTTCTCTTTTGACACTGATGCTAGAGATTTCTTGAGGAAATTATATCCCTTCCTTTCACTCTTGCTACTTCCCCATCCTCCACCTCAGATCTGTCAGTAATGGCAAATCTAAGATAACATTTTAGGTTTTGAAACAATGACAAAGTTTTTCTTTATAGACAGAAAGACATATACAGAAAGAGGCACATGAGATCAGTCTGAAAATGACAGAGGAGAGGTTTTAAAGGAATCTTAATAAGAACAAAATGAATTTAAAGTTGGGGGAATGAGAGAAGATATAAAAAAGTAGATCTGATAACTAATTAAAACCAATAAAATTGGTAAATGAAAACAAAAAACAACTTTTGAGAACCAAAAACAAGAAGATATTTAAATGCTATAGTATAGAAAGAGAATTCTACATATATAAAGTGGCAGCAGGAAGAGGAACAAAGAGTAGAGCATGGGTGGTGGCATTTCATGAGTGTGTGTAATATACATGCCAGGAATTATGCTGGAAGCTCTCCTATTATCTTTAATAGGCATAACAATTTTGCTGGTAATACTAGGAACTGCTTCAGAGGTAAACAGTAAAGCAAGGGTTCAGACTTGGTTTCTTTGACTTTGATAGGGAAATGAAACATACTACAAATAAATCATGGAATTAGGAAACATCTGTAGCTCATGGGAGACCTATACAAGGGAGTGTTAGCAATAACTTATACCTTATACATTAATCTAATTCTGAAGCTAAGTGAAAACATGGAATGTATATATTTTCTTACATACTATTTGTGTTTGTTGCTTACCCAAACAACTAAAATGGAAGACTATTTTAATGAATAAAAGGAAGGAGTGTGGGACAACATTCTTTAAGAATATCATAAAGGCTGTAGAAATGTTTCAGATTGAGAGAGGGAAAAGAGATATGACAGCTAAATGTAATATCTGGACAGGGAGCTGTACTGAGAGGGGGAGAAAATGCTGTAAAGGATACTAATGGGTCAGTTAACAAAATGGGATTATATATGGTAGATAAATGTTTTATATTAGTGTTAAATGTATTAAAATCTATAATTATGCTGTTATTGTGTAAGACCATATCCCTATTCTTAGCAGGTATTCACTAAAGTATTTAGAAGTAATGTGCCAGAATATACATAATTTCCCTTTAGATGTTCTGGAAAATGTTATATGTGAGAATGCATGTATATATAAATATGTGTGCACTGTATAATATGGGGAGAGAGTGAACAAATGATAAAGTGTTTGGGATAAAATTTTAACAATGAACCTGGGTAAGATATATTTGAAGTTCTTTATACAATTTTTATTCTTGCAACTTTTGCAAGAGCTTGACTTTATTTCCAGATTAAAAGTTTAAGAGAAATAGTTATGTCCTAGGCATGATGGCAGCACAAAAAAGAAGCACAAAATAATTGACCAAGGGACATGAACTTAGAAAACTAGATGCAAACACATTTTACAGCCCTCAGAAGTTGGTATGGGTATGTATTAGCCTCTGCTAGGTGGTGCCACATGCTTGACCCAAATATCAGATAATCAACAAGGAAGTATGCTGTGATTTAAAAATGGTACAACACTAACTTCATTTTTAGCTGTTCTGTCTTACCCTTTTGCAGATGTGTAGTGTAAACTACTTATGTTTTAATGTTTGTGTTACATAGAATAGTTTCACCCCTCTTATTCATGTTAGTATATTAAATTTTACTACAACAATATTGGTCAATTTTAAAATTTTTTTTATTTTACTAAGATTTTATTTATTTATTAGAGAGAGTGAGTGAGAGAGAGAGAGAACACAGCAGGGAGAGGGAGCAGACCCCTTGCTGAACCAGAGAACCTGATGTGGGACTTGATCTCAGGACCCTGGGATCATGACCTGAGCCGAAGGCAGATGCTTTACTGACTGAGCCACCCAGGCACCCAGGCATTTTTTTTTTAATCATTTTTTTTAAGATTTTATTTATTTGAGAGAGAGAGACCACAAGCAGGGGGAGCGGCAGAGGGAAAGGGAGAAGCAGGCTCCCTGCTAAGCAGGGATCCCAGGACCCCAGGATCATGACCTGGGCCAAAGGCAGATGCTTAACTGACTGAACCACCTGGGTGCCCCATAATGGGGAATTATTTATGTTCATATGTTACATCTAATACATGGCCTTTAGAATAAGTCATTATTCACAAATGGCAGGAGTACATTTTTACTATGTTACTAAAGTGAGAATGCTTACTGTTTGTAGCACAGGATATTTGGATAGGATATATCCAATCTGTTGATTCATACTATAACTTATAATAAATGTGCCAAATATAAACAATGCAAATAATCTCATGGAAAAACCTAACTGAAAGCTAAATCGTCCTTTTAAAATTAATTTTTCTACGACATTACTGAATTCTTTTAAAGGCGTCAGTGAATTTTTAATTTGAAACTCCAGTAATATTTGTATTCTCTTAAAGGCATAAAAAAATCTCAATACCGGTCTTAATTAAATAGATCCAATAATATTCTAGGATATTATTAAATTAAAGTATTAAAATAAATACACAAGGGGCGCCTGGGTGGCTCAGTCATTAAGCGTCTGCCTTCAGCTCAGGTCATGATCCCAGGGTCCTGGGATCAAGCCCCGCATCAGGCTCCCTGCTCAGCGGGAAGCCTGCTTCTCCCTCTCCCACTCCCCCTGCTTGTATTCCCTCTCTCACTGTGTCTCTGTCAAATAAATAAATAAAATCTTTAAAAAAATAAAATAAAATAAATATACAATATGGTAATTCTTCTGCCTTCTCCACAATAGAAATAGACACAGATTTGGGGGCACCTGGGTGGCTCAGTTGGTTAAGCATATGCCTTTGGCTCAGGTCATGGTCCCAGGGTCCTGGGATCGAGTCCCGCATCACGCTCTCCACTCAGTGGGGAGCCAGCTTTTCCCTTGCCTGCAGCTCCCCATGCTTGTGTGCACACACTCTCTCTGTCACATAAATAAATAAAATTAAAAAAAAAATAGACACGGATTTGGAAAGCATTTAGTAGCAAATGGTGTCTAATACAATTTCTAGTGAATCTGGCTATTAGATCTGGATCTTAGAACCTTTTATTCTGTCATTACTGAGCAGCTGTGTCTATCTTACTTGACTTAATCTGTGGCCAATTGACTTTCTAGCTTTAAATATAAGGAAAATAATTTTAGTATCTCAATTATGGTTGTTAAAAAGAAGTCCTCTTAATCCATTGCTTTATCAGTAGATCATATTTAGACATATAGAATTTCTTTGTGGCTGTTTTTCAAATATTTTCCTTTTTGCTGGCTTTATCTAACAATATTAGGAGTTTTTCCAGGGCACAAAAAAAGTGTCTGAGTTCTTTGTTTTTTGTTTAATTTTCTGCAGTCAACTGGTCAGATATATCATTTTAACAATAGCTTTTATTCCCCAATCCCTACACTACCATGCCCATTTAAGAGACTAATTTTGTGTTGAACTGAAATGATCTTGGTAAAAGCACATGCTATATGTGTTGGCCTTGCCATAGTCTGTAGAAATATTTCAGCCATCAAAACTACTGGAATTGTCATTAAAAACAAAAATAATTCCCTGGGCACCTGGGTGGCTCAGTCAGTTAAGCATCTGCATTCAGCCCAGGTCATGATCCCAGGGTCCTGGGATTGAGCCCCGCACCATGCTCCCTGTTTGGGAGCCCGCTTCTCCCTCTCCCTCTGCCCTTTTCCCCCAACTTGTGCTCGCTTGCTCTCTCTTTCTGTCAAATAAAAAATAAAATCCTTAAAAAAAAAAAAATCCCAGCGCATACTAGATCTACATTAATTTAAAATGGAAGAAGGCAGTGGAATGGATACTTTGTGTCCAGATAAAATTTCAGAAAGTGGCAAAGAGTGGCCTGATTTCTGATGAATTTCATTTGCCCTGTAGTAATAAGCTACAGCCTTAGGTGTCAAATTAGCAGTACTGTTGAACAAATAATCTTACAGACTGGAAATTTTAAATGCCTAGTTCCTTTTTTCTGTTTCTAGTTCTTTGGAGACTTAACCTGGCTGCATGTTTCACCATTAAGCATTTAAATTTTTTTTTCTTAATTCAAAAGAAGAAATCCTTTGATTGGTGAGCATTTAAATTATAGGCTAGACTTCCTTTTCAAGATTATATCAATCTTAGAGATGTATTGTTCAATATATAAATAAAAAGTAATATATTAAATTTATAGTTGTTTCTGTAATTATGCCATCTCTACTCACCATTGTTATAATTTGGTATTAACTTCTTTTTAATAATAGACGAATCCTTAGTACTGTGGAAAAGAGCAGACAGAAATATAAACCAGCTTCTCTCACAGTGGAGTTTGTCCCTTTCTTTTATCGTAAGTATTGATCCTAGTTTCTCTTTGATTTTGATGTTACTCTGATTATTCTTTATTTTTATATTCTTCTGATTCTGCTTGATTCAGCTTTCTGTATTTGTAAGATAAAGATTATAAGAACCTATCACTGGAGTACTTGATTCATATTTTGCTGTGATTAGTGTTCTTCTCTAATTTTCTGTTCTGAAAGTGTTTTTTTTTTTAATGTTATGTTAATCACCGTACATTACATCATTAGTTTTTGATATAGTGTTCCATGATTCATTGTTTGCGTGTAACACCCAGTGCCCCGTTCAGTCCGTTCCCTCTTTAATACCCATCACCAGGCTAACCCATCCCCCCACCCCCTCCCCTCTAGTTTGTTTCCCCTCAGTTTGTTTCTCAGAGTTCATAGTCTCTCATGATTCGTCTCAGAGGGGGAGATGAAAGGGGTTTTATTTTGAGAAGAGCTTAATATTATAATGACTGTACTATAGACCTTCTGAATTTTTACTGAAATAAACTTAAGAGGGGCACGGGGGCCCAGCTGGTATATGGCCACAGCCTGGGAGCCTGAGGCCAGGGCCTCCTGCCCAGGAACTACCTAGCTGGGCTGTGAGCTGGTGGTGGGCTCAGGGATGAGGCCTCCCTTTTGCCAGTTGGGGCTCTGTAGAGCCGAGTGCGGCTTTGGCCCAGGCCACATTTGCGGTAGGGAGCTAACAGGCCCACTCACCCCACAGGTGGATGGCATAGGGGCAATAGTGATGGACACCCTAGAGGAAGAGAACTTTGCACTGTCCTTCTCTTCTACCTCTGATACAGAATTTGATGCTATGGTTGGATTTTATTATCATGGATGAAGAGTTCCATTTATTAAAGAAAATTTGTATGGACAAGCACTCCCAGGAGAGTTTGAAGACATGGGAGATAATAAACGTACCTACACACCTATTTGTAATGAATATATTTCTTTGGTAGAAAAGTATAATGAAGAACATCTGCTAGAACAGATTCCTGGATTTAACATGGTGACTTGCACAGTATCTTTACAGCACTGTAAAGAGAAAGTAGCTGGTGACATATTGGACATGCTGTTCATGTTTACAGCTTTTCTGGCTTTTAAAGAAGTGTTTCTGGGCTATAGAGCAGAAAAAGAAGGCTGGGGACTGGGTTTAAGCAGCACTTTAGTGGTGACATAGTTGTGCAACTCATCTTTATCAGTTTCCCAGACCGATCTGAGGCTGTAGGGCCCACCTCTGGGCGGTGAGATCTTTCTGGGTGTGCTAGCCCATTAGACTGGGGGAGGCTAAAGCTAATGTGACAGAAGAATACATCTTGGAAAGAGTGACTCTGTTTTGCAACTGTTCATTAATGTTGGGTTGAAAAGAAAATTACCTGACCCTCCTGGGACCTGTTTCTCTTGAAATACCTTCTTGTATTCAGTGACCCTGGTACTGCTCCCCATAGTAGACACCTTTCTCAGGGGCTTTTGGGTCGGGAATTGCTGTACTCCCATGAGTCAGGCTCTTCTAGAGCAGTCCCAGGGCCAGCATTCCACCTGGGGGCTTCTTCCCTAGCATACATGTTAGTGTGTTGGTGTTTGAAAACTCACCATCACCAGCCCTCTTTGGCCCAACAGGCTTTGCATGTCCCAACAGGCATTTTGTACACTCAGGTTTTCATATGCATCAAAATTTCAGTCCTGCAGCCTCATTGGGGTTTTTGACTGGGAGTATTTATCCAGGATGTTAAGCCAGCTGATCATCCTGAAGTTTCTGAAGCTCCTACTGTAACAGTTAGTCTTGGCTATAGGAATCAACTGAGAGAGGTGTCCTTTACCCAAAAGCTACATGTGAATATCAATTTCTAGTCTTATATTTGCAATCCTTGTATCACTATCTTCTGCTGGTCCTGATGTAGTTCCACTGTTTCTTGAACCTCCTTTTAAGCATTTTTGAAAAAAATATTTTTATAGATGAATACTCAGGCTGACGTAGTAGATGTAATCTTGGAACTTCCATGATTACCCATTTAAAGATCAAATTAATATATGCTGTGTGCTTTTTAGTTATTAGTACCATGAAAGCAAAAATGCTTTCTGCCTTGGTGTTTCTATTTTAGTGAACACCAATAAATGTATACTTATGCTGGAGGTAAGTTAAAAAGTATCCTTTTCTTATAGCATGTTAAGTGTTTGTGTAGGTTTGCTAAAACCCTTTCTGTATAAGTCAGTTCATTAGGTTTTCTGTTGAGGTAAGGAGTTCCTTCTTCCTCTTACGGGTGTAACCAGCTCAGTATGAGTTTGCTTTGATTCAGTAGTATTTGAAAGAACATTACTGACCAGAAAACATGATGTCACATCTCTAGAAAGAAGAAAAAACATAGTTGTTGAATTCCCAATGTGTTCTGTTTCTTTCCCTAGCCATATATCTGTGTGTGTGTGTGTGTGTGTGTGTATGTATATAAACTTATTACTTATTTTTTTAAACCTTTAAAAGGTTTAAAAGTGTATATATGTATATAAATTTATTACTTACTTTTAAGGTTTAAAAATACACACGTTTAAATATAAGGTTTAAATATACACACATGTGTATATTTTTATATACACACATATATGTATATATGTATATAAATTTATTACCTATTTTTAAACCTTTTTAAAGTAAAAATTCTGTACTGAATTTTTACTTGGCTGTTCTGGTTTTAAAGGATGAGTTATAGGTTATGTGTTTTTTAATGTGTTTTCACTTATTAAATACTTCTGTGAGTAAAAAAAAAAACTTACAAGAAATTTGGCTACTATAGGTGTGACCTATGTGGATTTAGTTTTCTTTCTTAAAAAATGGTTGTGCCATAGTTCGAGAATATAGAAAATATTGCTGAATATATACAAGGAATACCTTGTGTTTCCTACTCATATTTGTCAGATCTTGCCATAACATTTTACCATATTGGCTTTTGTTTTCTTTCCTTTTTTCCTAAGAATTAAAACAAGACAGAAATAGTCCGTTGTTTGAGTGCTTGGTGAAGATGATTGCAGCGTCCACTCTGACCAGCAGTAGCGATATCGGCTTCAGCTACATAATCAAACTAGGCTGATTTCTGGATTCTTTTTTTTTTTGTTACATATATCTGCCCTTATGATATTACCACACTGTATTGATTATTGTGACTTTATGCTAAGTCTTGAAATCATTAAGTCCTTCAACTTTGTTTTTCTTCAAAAATTTTTTGGCTATTCTGGATCCTTTACATTTTTATATGCATTTTAGAAGCCAGTTTTTAAATATTTTTACAAAAACACTTGCTGATATATTTGTTTGGGATTGTATTGAATCTAGGAACCATTTTAGGAGAATTGGTATCTTAAGAATACTGAGACTTCCAGTGGTTGAATCTGATAAACTCATTATTTGTTACTTATTCAGTCAGTATTTTGTAGTTGGCAGAATATAGGTTGTGCACATATTTTGGTAGTTTATCCCAAAGAAGTTATCATAAGTACTTGTAAATGTGAAGTCTTTAAAATAAACTATTGTAGATTTTTAAAAAATCCTATCTTTGATAATGACATTTCCCTTTTTACCCATGGTAATATTCCTTGCCTTACCTTGATAATATTCTTGCCTGCTTTGTCAGATACTAATATAGCCACACCAGCATTCTTATGATTAGAGTTTACATGGTATATCTTTTTATATCCTTTATATGTTTTCTGTGTGTCTCCTGTGGCTGATTAGAACTCTGTCTTCTTGCAGCTCTGTGTAAAATCTGACAGTTACTCAGCTTAAAACTTCTTGGTAGGTTTTTGCCTGTCTTGTGGGATTTCACAGTATCATGTAAGAACTGATACTTTGACTCAAAGTGAGCCCTACTAATATTTCTGGAGTGCTTCTTCTACTCCTGTACTGCTTCACAAATTCCAGTTACCTAGGCCTCCCCAAAGGTTTTATCTGTCTCCTAACTTAACAAATAGCCATCTTCTTTTAGGGTTCCCCTTTTCTGTGCAGTTGTTCAGAACATGTCCACAACAGGAAGCTGAGATAATCGTTGAGCTTACCTTGTTTCTCTTGAGAGAAGGAAAATTTCTAGAGTGCATAAATTTCTACCTATTTTGTCTAGTTTTCTAGTTATTTCAAGCAGAAAGCCATGTATAGTGATAGTGACAGTTATTCCAACAAAGCTGGAATCATTGAATTTTTTAAGTATAGATTTCTATGAATACATTTACCTCAAAGCTATTTCTTTTTGGTAATGTTTGTTATGTATAAAATTGGAAAGAATTCTGTTATTATACCTTCTCTATATATGTAACGATATATGCAAAAATATTCATTACTGGGTTATTAGACTATCAAAATGAAAAGGAAAATCATAAAAGTTTATCAGTAGAAAACTGGTTAAGTAAATTAAGGTATATCATTGTAGTGGTCCTAAAAATGAATAAGGAAGATGTTTATGTTAAGATGTAATAATACCCAGTATATATTAATGTTAAAAAAAAAAAAAACATGATGCAGTGGTATATGTATAGCTTTTTTTTTTTTTTTTAAGGTGTGGGGAGCTTGGTAGATTGAGGAATACGTTTGAGGGAGACTGACTTTTCCTTGTCACAGTTCTTTTATGCTGTTTTAATTATTTGTTATGTGCATGTATAACCTTTTGAAAACAATAAAATACTTTATAATGTTAAAAGAAAGGTTATTATTGGTACCAGAATTTTGGAATGTTTGCCCTGAAGTAAACCCAGGAAATCTTTTTGTCCAACTCTTCCAATTTTATAATTGACTAATTATAGTCAATTATACTAATAAGAGGAAGTAGTAGTAAAAAAACACATCTAATTTTATGTCAGATTTCAGTTAGCTTCTAGCATTGTCACTTAGCAGCTCTATAACTTTAGATAAGACATTTCATTTGCTCATTTATAAATGAGGGCAAAATATTCTCATATGGAGTATTATGAGAATTAAATGAGGTAACATAAATAAATTATCTAAAATACTACCTGATTGATGGTTTTCTTTTCCTTTACTATGAAAAAATGCATATCAGCCTTGCCTTTTAACAAACTTTAGCCTTTTAATAGTTTTTAATGTTTCAGTGTCAGACATTCCTTAGAAATAAGTCATACTGTGAAAGAGAAATCTTACTTGTTTATTTGTGTATTATATTCACAGAGTGTTTTCAGGAAAGTGAACATCTCAAGGAAAGTCTTAAGTGTTGCTTATTGCATCTCTTTGGAGCCATTGTAGCCGGTGGGCAGGTGAGGAAAGTGTTGAAAGTTAATATTTAAAACAGTAGTTAACAGTGCAAAAAGTTTTCTGTGGCTTATTTAATGTATTCCTTGTTGTTTTATAATTTCATGAACCACATGGATATTTTTCTGGGTTTATAACTTGTTTAAAACTAATCTTTTAAAACTTCTTTAAAAACCTAAGTGATAATATTAGCACTAACAATAAAATTACTGCCTAAATAACCATATTTAACAATTTTTTTTATTGTAAGTTCTTAGTTGTGTTGACTTTCAACTGCTAGTTCTTACTTTAGAATATAAAGTCAGCCCTTGTTAGTCCACATGATGAAATCAAACTCAAAATTAAATATATATGAATTAAACATTCTTCTGTCTACTTAATTTCTAAATGCATATATACAAGGTTTATATGCATTTTTTTCAACAAACCCAAGTAACTTTTTATTACTCAAAAGAAGGAAATTCTAGTAATCTTTATTTCTTTATTTTTGGAGGTGAGCATCTTGAAAGTTTTCTGTGGTTAACTTTGAGTATAACTACTAGTTGAAAACAGGATTATAGTTTGGAAAGAACATCCTATATGTTTTCTTTAAGCACACAGTTTAGATCAGAAGTTTCTAACACTTTTTGTGCTGCCTATGCTGTTGACAATCTGTAAAGCCCCTTGTTGGAATATTTCAAATGCATAAAATTAAATACATAAGATCGCAAAGGAAACTAATTATGCTAAAATGCAGTTACTAAAATATTAAGATAAATTTGTAACATAGGAATGTGTTTTTATAACACTAAAGAGATATAGCAGCAAGTCTAGTAATAAATGTAATTTCAAAAAAAAGACAAACATGATTTTCAAGACATTGCAGCTAGAATATATGAAAATATATAGGATTTCTTTTGGTAACAAAGTTACAGATATTGCTAATAATACTATTTGGGTTTCCTAGTGGGCTACCTTGCCTTTCCTCTTCACTCTAGTAGAAGAGTCTTTTTTTTGTGAGGGGGATAATGACTAGAATCTTATTTTTCAGTTTGTTTGCTTTGTCACCTTCCTTTATTAGCTGATATTCTTCTTTTGCATCAGTATCTACTCATTTCCGTTGTTTCTCTGCTACTAAAAATAAGAATAAGTATACATGAATAAAATTGGAAATGACATTGTTTTTGACTAGTGGAGAAGCTGGTTGGATCCCATTACCATTTTGAACACAGAGACTTGTTTTTGTTAGTGCCCAGGGGTAATGAAGCACTGAGAGACCTCCAATAATTAAAACTCACATAGAATTCAAGTAGCTACTAGAAGGCCAATTTATTATTTTATGTATTAAAAATGCTCAAAATCCTTATAATCAGGTTATAGCTGTAGTTATAGCTGTTTTGAGGTCAGAAATTTATTGAATATAGAGTAAATACAAGGATATTTAGATGAATTGAATATCTAAAGGTGTAAGAATGGCCTTGTCATAAACAGCAGAAAAATTGAAGTCCCGTGACTGGTCTCCCTTCTCCAGGCATCATGCCTAGGCTTCCCATTGGCATATTTGTTGTTTTGTGTTATGTTAAGAGGATAGGCTTTGGAGACAGACTGACATAGGTTTGAATCCCATGTCCATCTCTAACCAGTTGTGTGACCTTGGATAAACTGTTTACATGTGTTTTAGCTTCTATATTTACATGTGTTTTAGTTTATTTATTTATAATATGGAAACAGTAACAATTACAAGATAGTCCTAAGGACCAAATGACACATAATATATGTAAAGTGCTTATAAGAACTGAGTAAGTCACAGGTCTGTCACTTAGATGTGTGATTCCCGTAATTAGTAGTAAATACTAAAATTATAACAGCTTAAGATAGAAGTTTACTTTTTTTCCCTCATTAAAAAAAAAATAGCAGTAAGCAGTCCAGAGTTAATCTGATGGCTCTAGGATCTTCAAGGATCCAGGTTCCTTCTGAATGTCAATTTGTTATTATTTCTTTTGCGACATGATTAGCTTCTAGAGTTCTGGCCATTTGCATTTGTATTTTGGGCACAAAAATGGAGGGGAGATGAGGAGGGAGACAAATGGCACATGCCAACTATCTTTAAAGGAGATACTGAAAAGCTGACACTCATCTTTTTTTTTATCTCATTTGCCAAACTCCATGAGATAACTGCAAAAAAGGAAAATACGTCCAGATAAAAAATTTGATAAAACGTGCTTCCTCAGCCTCCTTGGCAACAAGGGAGGTTAGGAAATGTAATCTTTATTTCTGGTAGCCACATGTCCAGTAAAATATCAGGCTTCTTTTTATAAGGAAGTGGAGGAAAATGGATGTTGGGTGTTCTACTGGCAGTTTCTCCCATTGTAGCACTTGTTATTGATATTATTTATTATATTGATAATAAGCTCTAATGGCCTAAAGTGCTGTTACTTTCAGATGATTTTGCATAATTATGTTTGGATTCATTATATATCAGTTTAACAGTTTTAGGCAATATGTATTATTTACAAGTTTAATGGATCACCTCGAATAGCTACCAATTATTTAGAATTTCAGAAATATGTTTGTAGAATCAGAGTCAAGCCAGTCCTCTAATATATCTATATTTGGGGTGGATTTGCTATAACCAACACAAAACCCTAGAGAAGCTTAACCAAATTGAGGGTTTTGTTTGTTTTTTGTTTTGTTTTGTTTTGTTTTTATGTTGGCTCAAGAAAACCAGATGTAGGCAGTTCTGGGCTGGTATAGCAGCTCCATGGTATCCTCAAGGACTAAGTCCTTTCACATTCCTGTTCTGCTTTCCTTATTATAATTCTTGGGTTTTGTTTCTTCAAGATTTAAAGGTGGCTTCAAGCATTGTATCTGCATTCCAGGCAGGAAAAAGATGAAAAGGCCAAGAGCAAAGGGTTCTTCTGTTTTTATTTGTAAAGTTATATTTACCTCATAGTCTACCGGCATATATTCTTGACCAGAACTATGTCATATGGCTACCCCAGCTGCAAAGGCGGGTGGTAAACAAGTTTTCTATGTGGGCAGATTGCTTTCTGAATAAAAATGAAAATCTAGTAATCTAGCACAGTACTTACTTACAGATTATAAGACTTAATACGCATAAAACACTAGCAATGTCTGTCAAAGTATGTGATAAAATTTTTTATGTTGATTTATTAAAAGAAAAAGTCTGCAGATTTATTAAACTTTACTTTTGCAAACATACAGAATTTCAGTTAGATTTGGGTTTCATTTTTATTCTCTCTCATGTTTCAGAGGAATGCTTTGCAAGCAATTTCTCCAGCCACCATGGAAGTTCTTATGAGAGTTTTGGCAGATTGTGATTCCTGGGATGATGGAAATCCTGAAGAAGTGGGTAGGAAGGTAGAACTTACTCTGAAGTGCCTTACAGAAGTAGTACATATCCTTCTCACTAGCAGCTCTGATCAGCGTCAGGTGGAAACCAGCACTATTTTGGAGAACTATTTTAAATTGCTAAATTCGGATCATTCAGCTTTACCTAATCAAAGGAGGTCCAGACAGTGGGAAAGCCGGTTCATAGCTCTGCAGATCAAAATGCTGAGTAAGTATTATATAAAGTTTATTATACTGTTTTCTCTGAGTCTGTTTTTTAAGACTCATTTGAAATTCAAGGCTATCATATAGAAGTATTGATTGTTTAATTCAGCTATTGTGTGACTTTAGATTTTGACTTCAGAATAATTAATACGGACTCAATTTGTTTACAACATCTTTGCTTTAACAATGACAAAATTGAGCCTCTATTGTTTTTTGAAAGTGTGATCGATTAAAAGCATCAATGTTAAAAAGAAAGTCAGCTATTATTTTCAAATTCTAGGAAAAGTAAGTTTTCAGGAGGTGTCATTTGCATTGTCTAACTCATAGCAAGAGTCACATATGACAATTTTGTATGTCCTTCTATAAATCTCTATAGATGTCACTTTAACATCTATCCTTTCTCTAGAGGACCTCTGTTTTATTTTGTTTTTTTCGTTTCTCTTGCCCTCTCTTTGTGTTTGTTGGTTTGTGTCATTCTTTGCTTATATATCTCTGTTTTTCTCTGTAAGCTCTTTCATCAATATATGTGATTTCTTACTGTATTCCCCTGTTAGATTGATAGTACAAGTATTCTTAATTGAGAGCTTCTTTTTATAGAAATAAAATATTTTCATTACAGCTGTACTAGGAAATGTGGATAAGTAAAAAGTTTTTTATATTTTACCACCCAGACATAACCAACATTAATGGTTTGTTGTACAGCTCTAGAGACTTAAAAACATGGTTGTGTAAGGGTGTGTGTGGTGTCTAATTTAAAAATATTAGACACCAGAATCTTGGTGAAACTTGATCCCTTACAATGCACAAGAGACTTTGTTTCTGTAGGAAAATAAGATTCATTTTGTCTAGTTTCTGTTCTTTTATAAAATATGTTTTATAATTGTTATAAATTATAACTTTATAAGAAAGTTTGAGTCTATATTGAATGGACTTATTTGTTAAGAACTGTTGTATTACTTATGCTGATTATCCCTTGATTTCTGAATGAGAATATCTGTTCAGTAGGAAACAAGAGCAAACCATCATCATAAATAGATTGATTTCCTAAGTCCCATTTTCTTAATGGCTACATGCTAATTTTATACTGTATAAATGAGACTGTTGCAAAACATAACCAGGTGTTACTTATTAATAGCAAGTTGAAAACCTCAGTTAGTTATACTTGAGCATTATAATGGAAGAATAACTATGTAAATCTCTGGGAGATATATATCACTCTTATGTATAAAAATTTAAATATTTTTAATAATAAATTATAAAAATATTCATTTTTCTTAACAAGTAATAAGTACAGTTTTTTTTCCACCCTCCATCCCTATTTCTTCCTAATTCATTTACATCTGTCAGCTGAAAAGCCTAAATTAAAAATATAGCCAAAGTAAATGTTTCTGTGATCCCAAATTTTCCACTTTATAAATGGATGATTTTGTTTTTATTTTCCTAGATACCATCACAGCCATGTTAGACTGCACTGATAGGCCTGTTCTTCAGGCCATTTTTCTTAACAGTAATTGCTTTGAACATCTCATACGACTGTTACAGAATTGCAAGGTATTTTTCTATTCCTATTGTCTTTGATTTTAGAAAGCTCTTATTTTGTTTATGCTTTGATTCAAATTTAAACATATTATTACTGATTTTCTTTTTTATTATGGTAAAATACACATAAAATTTACCATCTTAACCATTTTTAAGGGTATAATTCAGTGGTATTAAATACATTCACATTGCTGTGCAACTATCACCACCATCCATTCTCCATAACCCTTTACATCTTATAGACCCATTAAACAATTCCACATTCTCCTCTCCCTCCAACCCCTGGCAACCACCATTCTACTTTCTGTCTCTATGATTTTTGATTAAGTACCTCATGTAAGTAGAGTCATATAGTATTTGTCTTTTTATGACTGGCTTATTTCACTTAGCATAATGTCCTCAAGATTCATCCCTGTTGTAGCATATTGCAGAGTTTTCTTCCTTTTTTTAGGCTGAATAATATTCCATTGTCTGTAAATGCCACAGTATGTTTACCTATTCATGTGTTGATGGACTCTTGTTGTGATTCTACCTTTTGGCTATTGTGGATAAAGCTGCTATGAACCTGAATATACCCATATCTCTTTGAGTCCCTGCTTCTGTTCTTTTGGATATATTCCAGAAGTGATATTGCTGGATCATATAGTAATTAAATTTTTGATATTTTGAGGAACCACCTTACTGTTTTCCGCAGTGGCTGTGCCATTTGATGTTCCTGCCAACAGCGCATAAGGGTTCTGATTTTTTCACATTCTCCTTTTTGATAACAGCTAATGCTAATTGGTGTGAAATGGCATCTCATTGTGATTTTGATTTGCCCTTGATGATTAATGAGACTGAGCATCTTTTCATGTGCTTATTGGCTATTTGTATATGTTCTTTGGAGAAATGTCTATGCAGGTTCTTTGTGCATTTTTTAATTGGGTTGTGTGTTTTTTGTTGTTGAGTTTTAAAGTCTTTTGTTGTGCATTGTTAAAATTTGGTGTATTTGATGCATATACTTTTGTGCTTTTGTTTCATGTAAGATGATTTTGTTTGCATTTTCCTGTGTTACGATTTTAATATCTACATAATATTAAGTAGATGTACCATAATTTACCTAACTATTCCCTATGGCAAATACTCAACTTATTTCCATAACTCCTTCAAGTTCATAGACTAGAATTCTATTTCTAGTAGAATTCCTAGGTCAAAGGGCAAACATGCTTTTTTAAAATTAGGGAACATTATATAAAAACAATTTGTAAATTGGGGAATATAGAAAAGTAGGAAAATAGAAATACTGTTAATGTTCTTGATATATACTGCTAATTTGCTATTATTTTTCTTTTTTACTAGTTTACATTTGTAGCAGATTTGTGAGCACATAATAACTAATATCTGATTATTTTATTTTCATAAATTTCAGGATGGTATCAGAAATTTTTTAGAATGCTTCTTGAAAAGCCTTTGAAAATGGAACCACTTCAAAGAGCTTTTACTTTTCTATTTGAGGTATTCCTTTCATGGAATCTGTGCTGAAAAATGCTAGGGTTTCATTCTGATTTTGTGAGGATATCCCAAAAGGAGGATTTTAATATCATCAGCTCCTCGAATTTTTTCACACTGTTAGGAGAGTTACCCATGAAAGCATTTATGTCACTCTGTTGCTTAGCTTATAGCAGAAAGATTAAAGAAATAGTATTAAAAAAATAAGGAATATATTGATGAAGTAAATAGGATGAATATTTACAAAGTCAATGAAAGTACTACCACTAGAGAGTGAAGATGCCTCCCCCCACCTTTTAAACATTATTCTTGGGAAAGAAATCCTAGGGAGATGAAAACAGCATAAGAAACTTTATAAAACCTTTTGTTTGTTGTTTAAAAAAAAAAAGCAATGTGTTTTTATCAGTTACAAAGGCAACTTCATCAAGACAAAATCTCCCATGTATAAGAGAACCTGCCAGTCACACATTATAGAAGAGTAAATCACTAGGATAAAATGTAGTTCCTACTAAAATTGATTAGTGTTTTTCTTCAATATGTGAAACTCAGATATTTTAAAAAATGTCATATCATGGTCAACAGTATCTTTTTAAAAAAGTGTAAAGCTTTTTGGCATAGCGGTCATGATGTTGAGCTAATATTTGCTCTTTCTACTGTCGTATAGGCCAGAGTTTCTTATAATTCAGATCTGGAGACTTGCTGACAGTCCTAGTGTTTTAAAATTTAATTATTTGATAGCATTTATCACATTTTGTTTTGAGACAGGAAATGTTAGAGAAGAAACCCATTTCAGAGGGGAAAGCCAGGCTTTGAGACCCTACCCTTCTCTGCTGGAGGTGGTGTTCTAGGCAGGATATTCTAGTCAGAATCACTATAAACTCATCACTAAACATTACAGTTACTAAGTCCTAACAACATGGAAGAACCTTTAAAATAAAATGCCCAACTCTTTTATTATACAAATGAAGGAAATAGGTCCTAAGAGATTAAATGATTAACACAAGGTTAATACTGTTCCATGATGGAGCCAGGATTTCTTATTCAGGTATTCTGACCCTGAGTTCACTGGTTGTATATAATTTTGTTGTATTGGTGCTTAAGGTCAGTGGAAAAATGTTTTCTGTGTATTAAATATAGGAGGAGTACAGGTTTTATTGATAAATACATTTGATAGAGATAGGTTAATATGATTCCTAAATGTATAAAAATGTTCGGAATCTTGTGAAAACTTAAGTTCTTAAATATATTACAGGATGCTACAGATGACTATGATTGACTTCTGTTTGAATTATTTTGTTAGTAAGGAATAAATAATTTATTCTATTTTACATAGTAATACAGAATCAAGACAACTGTTGTTTATTCAGACTCAGAGGAAGCATTGTCATCTAAAGCTTAAACATTTTATGAAGTACATGGAAAACTAGGCTGACTGGTGTAGTTTCTGTGCTTTCTTTTTTTTTTTTTTTTTAAAGATTTTATTTATTTATTCATGAGAGACAGAGAGAGAGAGAGAGGCAGAGGGAGAAGCAGGCTTCCAAGGAGCAGGGAGCCCGATGCGGGACTCGATCCCAGGACCCTGGGATCATGACCTGAGCCGAAGGCAGACGCTTAACCATCTGAGCCACCCAGGCGCCCTCTGTGCTTTCTTTTTGTATGAGATTCACCAGCCAGTTTATGCATTAATTTCCTTATGTATTTGTTTAAAGACCTTTAGTTTGTCAAAATGAGTTTCATCATACTGTGAAGTACTTAGAATATAATTCAGTGAAATCATACATTTAACTTTTCTGATAGCTATGATGAACCTTAAACATTTGAGAGTTGTTTTGTGTCACCATGTTGCATTTTGGAAGGGGGATATGCTTTGAATTAATGTAAAAATTATTTTTAGGAGCAGTCCAAGGTATTTGGAGTAATGAGAAGAAAATAACAACAAATTTCTAGTAGCAAAGAGAAGGGTTCAAAACCATAACATTTACTTTAGCATTCTGCTTGGAGTTTTAATCAGTTTTTTAAAAAAAATATAGATGTTGCAATGTATTATAAATATGTAAAGTTCTATTTGAGGACTTAAGTCATAAGATTCTGGAAAGCTGTTGATACTATTGTCTTGTTTACATTCCTTAATTTATTTTCTTCACTTTCTTCCTTTCCTTCTCCACCTCTACCCCTGAAAATCAACTACAACAAAAAATTTATCACTACAGCAGTCTTGGTAGGAATGAGAATTTATGAAAGAAACAACTAAGGGATGCTTTGTGGAAAAGATGGTTGGGAGTGGATACATAGAATGGTATAGTTGAAAGGTTGATTTTGGGAGTTGTACCTGCCTGGATTCATACACATTGCCTTATTTGAACAAGTTTCTTTTCATTTTTTTAAAGTAGATTTTTATTTCAATTCTAGAGCAATAATATAGATTTTGGAGGAAAAATGAAATATAAAAATATATTTTCTTAATCTTTTTGTAAAACATGTATGTATATATAAATATTTAAATTTTAAAAACTTTGGCAAAATACCCATAACAATATTTCCATATATATTTTTAATGAGGGTATATTTTTCTTTACAAAATTGGAATGCCAGTGAATATTTTTGTATCCTGCTTTTATATGTATTATATCATGAGTCTTTCCCATATACCATCATATATTTTTCAAAACATTGTTTTTAATGACTGCAAATATTTCAACCCAGCAGTTCTCAGAGTATGGGGCCCCCAAGATCATTTTAGGGAATCTACAAAGTCTAATCTTAACATTTCAGTTTGAGGCTAGATTTTTTTTCATAAACTTGAATCAAAACGTCATAACAGTCTGAATGCAAAGTAGATATTAGAGTTCATCTGTCTTCTATCAAGTCAGACTTTTAAAGAGATTGCAAAAATGTAAAAGCAGTGCCATTCTCACTAATGTATATTTGAAAAATAAAGGTTTTTTTTCATAAAAATGTGTTATTTATGTCATCATGTAATATTGAATGACTAAACAAATATTACTTAAATGTTTTGATTTTAATTTTTCATGTGTAAATATTGAGAGATGTAACCCCACATAAATAGAAGTTCTTTGGGGTTCTCAATAATTTTTAAGACTGTTAAGTGGTCTTGAGGCCAGAAAGTTTAAGGACTTCCCTTTCAGCATATGGATGAATCATAATTATTTAACTATTCTACTATTTAAGGATATTTGGGTGGTTTCTTACTTTATGCTATTGTAAATAAAGCTGAAGTGAGCGTCTTGGTTTTAAAATCTTGGTGTGAGTTTCTGACCGTTTTTAGGGTAGATGTCTAGAAATGCAGTTACTGACAGAGTAATTTTAAGATTCTTTTTTTTTTTTTTAAAAGACATTTATTCAGCGTCATGATCAGACTATTACATTTAGCAATCAACAGCATGGGTGCAAAAAAAAAAGTCTACATTAAAACCCTTTGTTGGAATGCTTTACACTTTCCACAGAACAGAAACTAAAATAACCTGTTATACAATTAGTCACAAATACAGTCCTCGAGTTTTTTG